CGCCTTACTGTCGGGGTCGGCTTTGTAGGCGCGCCACACGATCGCCATCTCGGCGGCGCGGGCTTCTTTGGCGGCTTCTTTCTTTGGGTCTTTCGCCGCAGCGTTGGGCTGCGGACGTAGAACCCTCGAGGCGAGCGTCGTCGCTGACATGCAAATCCTCCGTGAGTCGCTCTCGCGACGCCTACCGTGGCGCCGCGGCGTGCGGAATCCTTCCGCTATGTTGTCGCTTTGAGGCTTGAGCCCTAGGGCTTGAGGGTTACCAGGGCGAACCGCCTCGGTGATCCCTCTAGCCTATTGGCCTCAAATCTCAGGTCTGATTAGCTTCTAACTCGTCGAGTTGTCTCTGTAGCCGCTGCCGGGTCGCTTCATCGACGGTCACCTCGGCGATCCGTCCCACGATGTACCCGACTCCCGCCAGCGCCGCCATCGCGATGAAGGCCGATTTGGCCGTCCCTTCGATGCCACCGCCCACTAGGGCGCCCCGCGCGAACGTGACCGCCCAGGCGAGCGAGCCGAGCACCCCGGCGTACGCCCTTCCCATGACTGACCCATCCCCGAGGCCGCAAACTTTCGACAACCTCCCCATTTTGCCCAATGCGGGCGCAACGGTTTAGACTCAACAATCATCGGCTGCGTTGTCACGGTGGGTTGAGACGAATTGGTCATTCTTTCCGGCTTGCGAGGCGATCGCTCAAGCCGCGAAGGCTGCGGTGACGGGGGCATTGGCGGGGTCCTCGATCGTCGTCGGCAACCAGCCCGCTAGCATCGGCGCCGCTGCCAAGAACTTCTGGCAAGACTCGCTGAGCGAACGGTGTACGCCGCGGGCCGCCTCTTCGTTCGGGCAGTGATTCACGATCACGCCGACACGGGCCGCGACGGCCCCGAGACGTTTGAGGGTCAAGTAGCCATTGACGGTCGAGAGCCGATCACCACCAACGATCAACAGCGGCCTCGCGGCGCGGCTGGCGAGTTCCCTGGCCCAGAGCGTGTCGCCGACGCCCGCGTCGATGACGATCCAGCCGCCCGCGTCCTCGGTCCACTGACGCGCCGCCCGCAGCAGCCGTTTGGCGGCTTCACCGACGTACGCGCCCTCTCCCGGAGCCGGCGCCACACCGAGCTTCGCCGCCGTTGTGATCACCAGGCCTGCCGTTGGCGTTTCGTCGGCCGCCGCCATCACCGCCAAGTCATTGCGCCCCGCGTGCGCGTCGATCGCCAGGACCGCCACGCCCTCGGGCTGACTCGTCGAACGCGCGAGGTCCCGGGCCGTGGTCAAGGCGACAGCCGAGGCGCCGACGCCGCCCTTGGCGCCAAGCACGACAACGACGCGCTCGGCCGTCGGCGGCATGCCGGGCGCCATGCCTTCGGCGACGCGACGCAGGTGGTTCGCCTGCTGGCCGTCACCAGAGTGATCTGTCGTTCGTCGAGGATGGCTCACGCAACCTCCTCGCCGAGCAGCCGGCCCGCCAGCGACTTCGCGTCGGCAAGGCGAATATCTTCGGGGACGCTCTGGCCGTCGGTCAGGTAACTGACGGGGAGACCCGAATCCAATACCGGCGCCGCGGCGTGACCGAGCGATGGGGCCTCGTCGAGCTTCGTAAGCAGCAGCGACGTGGGCCGGACCGGGGCGAAGCGCTCCAGGGCGTCTCGCATACCACGCGCCGTGCCGGTGACGGTCGTTACGAGGTGCGTCTCGTCGGGCGACGCCGCGTCGAGCAGGTCGCTACAAACTTGGAGCCGGTCGCCGTCGCGCGGGCTGCGTCCTGCCGTATCAATCAACACCAAGTCGAGCGCCGCAAGTTTTGTGACCGCTCGCCGCATCTCTTCAGGCGTCGAGACCACTTCCATCGGCAGGTCGATGATCTCGGCATAGGTGCGGAGTTGTTCCACCGCTGCGGTGCGGTAGGTGTCCACCGTCACGAGCCCAACGCGAGCGCCGTCGCGGAGCCGGTAATTGGCGGCGAGCTTGGCGAGCGTCGTCGTCTTGCCGACGCCTGTCGCACCCACCAGTGCAACGACACGGCGGCCACCCCCCAGACGGATCGGCCCCGTAACAGCGAGCGACTCTCTCACAACGCCCTGCACAACGCTGCGGAAGTGCTCAACGCCATTGGCGCCCCCCGACAGCCGCGACGCCGCCTCACGCACGAGCGACCGCGCAAGTTCCGGCTGCACGTCCGCGGCGAGCAGGTCGCTACAAACTTGGAGC